TCCCAGAGCTTGCTCAAACTCATGTCCACTGAGTCGATGATGCCATCCAACCATCTCATCCTCTGTTGTCCTGTTCTCCTGCCTTCAATCTTTCCCAGCATCAAGGTCTTTTCCAATGAGTCAACTCTTCATATTAGGTAGCCAAAGTATTGGAGCTTCAGCTTCAGCATCAGTCCTTCCAAGGATTATTCAGGATTGATTTCATTTAGGATTGACTGGTTTAATCTCCTTGCAGTCCAAGACACCCTCAAGAGTCTTCTCCAACACCACAGTTTAAAAGCATCAATTCTTTGGCATTCAGCCTTCTTTATGGTCCAACTCTCACATCTATGTATGACTACTGGAAAACCATAGCTTTGGACGGACCTTTGTTGGCAAAATAACACCTCTGCTTTTTAATATGCTGTCTAGGCTCATCATAGCTTTTCTTCCAAGGAGTAAGTTTCTTTTAATTTCATGGCTGCAATCACCATCTGCAGTGATTTTCGAGCCCAAGAAAATAAAGTCTGTCATGGTTTCCATTGTTTCCCCATCTGTTTGCCATGTAGTGATGGGACCAAATGCCATGATCTTAGTTTTTTGCATGTTGAGTTTTAAGTCAGCTTTTTCACTTTCCTTTTTCATCTTCATCAAGAGGCTCTTTAGTTCCTCTTGGTTTTCTGCCATAAGGGTGGTGTCATCTGCATATCTGAGATTATTGATATTCCTCTTGGCAATGTTGATTCCAGCTTGCACTTCATGTAGCCAGGCATTTTGCATGATGCACTCTGCATAGAAGTTAAATAAGCAGGGTGACAATAAACAACCTTGACGTACTCCTTTCCCTATTTGGAGCCTGTCCATTGCTCTATGTCCAGTTCTAACTTTTGCCTCTTGACCTGCATTCAGGTTTCTCAGGAAGCAGGATAGGTGGTCTGGTATTCCCATCTCTTGAAGAATTATACAAAGTTTGTTGTGATCCACACAGTCAAAGGCCTTAGTGTAGTCAGTGAAGCAGGAAAGAAAGTGAAGTCGCTCAGTCATGTATGACTCTATGCGACCTTGTGGACTATAGCCTACCAGGCTCCTCTATCCATGGGATCTCCAAGCAAGAATACTGGAGTGGGTTGCCATTTCCTTTTCCAGGGGATCTTTCTGACCCAGGAATTAAACCAGGGTCTGCTGCATTGCAAGCAGATGCTTTACTCTCTGAGCCACAAGGGAATGAAACAGAGTAGATATTTTTCTGGGATTCTCTTGCTTTTTCTATGATTGAATGGATGTTGGCCATGTGATCTCTGGTTCCTCTGCCATTTCTAAATCCTGCTTGAATATTTCAAAGTTCTTGGTTCACGTACTGTTGAACCAGTCTAACTTGGAGAATTTTGAGAATTACTTTGCTAGAATGTGAAATGAGTGAAACTGTGCAGTTGTTTGAAAACTCTTTGACATTGCCCTTCTTTGGAACTGGAATGAAAACTGACCTTTTCCATTCCTATGGCCACTGCTGAGTTTTCCAAATTTGCTGGCATGTGGAGCTCAGCACTTTAACAGCATCATCTTTTAGGATTTGAAATAACTCAGCTGGAATTCCATCACCTCCACTAGCTTTGTTTGTAGTGATGCTTCCTAAGTCCCACTTAACTTTGTACTCCAAGATATCTGGCTCTAGGTGAGTGATCACACCATCGTGGTTATCTGGCTTATTCAGATTTTTTGTATAGTTTTTCTGTGTATTCTTGCCATCTCTTCTTAATATCTTCTTCTTCAGTTAGATCCATACCATTTTTGTCTTTTATTGTACCCATCTTTGCATGACATGTTCCATTGGTATTTCTCCATTTCTCCATTGAAGAGACCTCTAGTCTTTCCCATTCTATTGTTTTCCTCTATTTCTTTGCATTGTTTACTTAGGAAGGCTTTCTTATCTCTCCTTGCTATTCTATTTAATATATAGTAGTATTTAACACAATACTACTATGTATTAAAATACAAAAATTTAATATAATACTACTATATTTAAAAGATAACAGTTTAGCACAGGGAACTCTTCTCAATGCTTTGTGGTGGGTTTCCTTTCCATTTAGGTCACCACAGAGCAGTGAGAAGAGTTCCCTCTGCTATACAGTAAGTTCTCATTAGTTATCTTTACAGTACATTGTACTAAAAGTCTGGTTACTTTTTTATTTTTTTATCTCTGGTTCTTCTGCTTTTTCTAAACCCAGCTTGAACATCTTGAATTTATTGGTTCACATAATGCTGAAGCCTAGCAAGCAGGATTTTGACAATAATCTTACTAGCATGGGAGACGAGAGCAAATGTCTGGTGGTTTGAAAGGAAAGGAGTAAGACAGGGTTGCTTATTGTCACCCTGTTTATTTAACTTATGGGCTGAGCACATCATGAGAAATGCCGGGCTGGATGAGTTAAATGCTAGAATCAAGATTGGCAGAAGAAACATCAACAGTTTCAGACAGGTGGATGATACCACTCTAATAACAGAAAGTGAAAATGAAAAGAAAAGAACCTCTTGATGAAGGTGAAGGAGGAGAGTGAAAAAGCCAGATGAAATCTAAATATTAACAAAAACTAAGATCATGACATCCAGCCCCATCACTTCATGGCAAATAGAAGGGGGAAATGTGGAAGCAGTGACAGATATCCTCTTCTTGGGCTCTAAAATCACTGCTGATGGTGACTGCAGCCATGAAATTAGATGATTGCTTCTTGGCAGGAAAGCTATGACAAACCTAGCGTGTTAAAAAGCAAAGACATCACTTTGCCGATAAAGGTCCGTTTAGTCAAGGCTATGGTTTTTCCAGTAGTCACATACGGTTGTGAGAGCTGGATGGTAAAGAAGACAGAGCGCCGACCAATTGATGTTTTCAAACTGTGGTGCTGGAGAAGACTTCTGAGAGTCCCCTGGACAGCATGGAGATCAAACCAGTCAATCTTAAATGAAATCAACTCTGAATACTCATCGGAAGGATTGATGCTGAAGCTCCAATACTTTTTGATCACCTGATGTGAATAGCCAGCTCACTGGAAAAGACCCTGATGCTGGGAAAGACTGAAGGCAGAAGGAGAAGAGTGCAACAGGGGTAAGATATTTTGATAACATCACTGATGCAATGGATGTGAACTCCGGCAAACACCAGGAGATGGTGAGGGACAGGGAGGCCTGACATGCTGTAGTCCATGGGGTCACAAAGAGTCAGATGTGACTGGGCCACTGAACAGCAATGACAGTAAATGTATATGACAGAGGAATGGATAAAAATGTGGAGCATAACTGTTAGCGGGAATGTGAATCGGTACAGTCACTATGGAAGACGGTATAGAGATCCTTAAAAAACTAGAAATAAAACCACCACATGACCCAGCAATCTCACTCCTAGGCATTTACCCGGAGGAAACCAAAGTTGAAAAAGACATATGTACCCCCAGTGTTCATTGCAGCACTATTTACAATAGCTAGAACATAGAAGCACCCTAGATGCCCATCGACAGATGAATGGACAAAGAAGATGTGGTACATGTACACAATGGAATATTACTCAGCCATAAAAAGAAACACATTTGAGTCAGTTCTAATGAGGTGGATGAACCTAGAGCCTATTATGAGTGAAATAAGTCAGAAAAAGAAAGATAAATATCACATACTAATGCATATATATGGAATCTAGAAAGATGGTACTGAAGAATTTATTTGCAGGACAGCAGTGGAGAAACAGACATAGAGAACAGATTTATGGACAGAGAGGGGAGGAGAAGGTGAGAGGTATGAAGATGTGGCACATATATACAATGGAATATTACACATCCAAAAAATGGATCAAACTGTGCCATTTTCCGAGACGTAGACTGACCTACAGATTGTCATATACAACGAAGTGAGTCAGAAGAGAAAAAAAAATCATATATTAATGCATATATGTGGAATCTGGAAACAGTACTGATGAACCTATTTCTAGGTCAGGAATAGAGATGCTAACAGATGCAGAGAACAGACATATGGACACACCAGGGAAGGAGAGGGTGGCACAAATTGGGAGATTAGGATTGACACATATACACTACTGTGTGTAACGTAGACAGCTGGTGGGAAGCAGCCAGTTAACACAGGGAACTCAGCTCAGTGCTCCGTGATGACCCAGATGGGTGGAAAGGCTGGGTGGTGGGAGGCAGACTCAAGAGGGAGGGGATACATGTATACTTACAGCTGACTTGTGTGGCTGTACATCAGAAACCAACACAACATTCTAAAGCAATTATCCTCCAATTAAAAATAAATAAAAAACAAAATTAAATAAAATATCTTTCAGGGGACTAATAAATTCCCAGGCAATGAGAGGAGAGACATAAGTACTGCCAGCTATGCAATTTCTCAGTCTGATACACAAAATTTATAATCAAGAATATCAACTCAAAATTAACAATTTATGCTAATGAATTGTAAGGAAATAGACAATAACTGTCATAGGGTGCAATCTAAGTTATCAAATATTAACTGAGGATTTATTCCATGCTAGGATCTGGGGTTCTGTTAACACATATGTCTGTTATAAGACGAGCAAACGTCATTGAGACAAGACTTTTGCCCTGTGCAAGAGTCTCTCCAGGGCCCCCTTCATGTCCCTGTTCCTTAGGCTATAAATGAAGGGGTTCAACAGTGGAGTGACCACTGTGTACATCACAGAGGCAATGGTGCTCTTGTCCCTGGAAGTGCTGGATGAGGGGAAAATATACAGCCCAATAATTGTTCCATAATACAGAGACACCACAGAGAGGTGGGAGCCACATGTGGACAATGCTTTGCAGATCCCCTTGGCGGAGGGGACCTTCAGGATGGTGGCCCCAATGCGTCCATAAGAGATCAGGATGCATACTAGTGGGAGGATGATGGCCACTACTGCTGTGAAAATGACCAGCTCATTGAGGGATGTGTCTGAGCAGGAAAGCTTCAGCAGGGCACCAAGGTCACAGAAGAAATGGGGGATAGTGTGGTCAGCACAAAAGGACAGCCGGGTCAGGAGGAGGGTGTGACACAGGGCATTGGTGCAGGAGAGAATCCAGGACACAGTTACTAGTAAGGTGCACAGCCTCTGTCCCATTATAGTGGTGTAGTGGAGAGGGTGACAGATGGCCACGTACCTATCATAGGCCATTGAAGTGAGCAGGAAATTGTCCAGATTGGTAAAAAATATGAAAAAATACATCTGTGTTATGCACCCTTCATAGGGAATGGATTGATCCTGAGTGTGCATGTTTATCAGCATTTTAGGGACAGTGACAGATGAAAAGGAGACATCAGTGAGGGCCAAGTGGCTGAGGAAGAAGTACATGGGGGTGTGGAGGCAAGGGTCCAGCCTGATGAGCAGGATGATGAGCAGGTTACCCAGCACCGTGGTCAGGTACACCCCCAGGAACAGGGCAAAGAACACGCCCTGCTGCTCTGGCCGGATGGGGAGTCCCAGGAGGAGGAACTCGGACACGCTGCTCTGATTTTCCCTCTTCATGCTCCTCTCCTGTGTGCTGGGGATGAAAGAACAGTGAAAGAAGCAGAAACTAACAATCAGGCAGATCGAAATGAGTCCCTAGCATAGTAGAGGGATGTTAAGTTAAAATCTACCTCATTTCTATTTCATTTCTGTACCTTTAAAAACAGTCATAAAGTTTGACCTTCAGACTGTGACGTATTGAACTTTTGAAATCTGGCTTCAAAATCCTTTAGTAAGTATAGTGAGGAAGTTTCAACAACAAATTCTCAAAGGAAAGTGGATCAAAAATAAATGGTCAAAGTTTCCATTATGTATAAAGATTAAAGGAAAAAGAAGCTTATCTGTTGATTGAACTCAGAGTGCCTTAGAGCTCAGTCTTGCAACATCACTGCAAACTTATTACTGGCAGTTATATATTTTTTGCTAGTACTCATATTTTTCAATCTCCAGTCTCCTCCTGATCCAACATGTTCCCATGACCCCTTGAACATCCATAGTAAATAGTGCTGTTGTCAATAGGAGTCAAAGAGATAAACCATGACATGTCTTCTCCCCCACCGCCACCTTTAGAAACTAATAATAAGAAATGACATAAGCCAAGAGCACAAAGAGGTGATGACCACCTGTGCACACACACACATACACACTCACACACTTGCATTTGGTTGAAAGAGACTAAGTTCTACTCTGAACTTTATGCTCAAGTGATCTAGCTGCAGGGAATAAGGACTGGTTTCTCAGCTTCTCTGGGCCTTCCCTGGTGGCTCAGATGGTAAAGAACCTGCCTGCAATGCAATGGGGGAGACCCGGGTTTGATTCCTGGGTTGGGAAGATCCCCTGGAGAAGGGAATGGCAACCCACTCCAGTCTTCTTGCCTGGAGAACTCCATGGGCAGAGAAGCCTGGTGACTACAGCCAGTGGGGTCACAGAGAATCAGACAAAATGACTTCAGCTTCTCAGTAGGATACTCCGAGACCAGATTTAGCCACCACTTCTGTGGTCCCAAACCTCTCACCAGCATCAGGGCAAAATAAGCAGACTCCTCAATTCAAAGTTTCAGAAAAGGAAATATGAAGACTATGCTCTGCCCACCAGGGAGGGGACCCCAGGGACCGGGCAACAAGTTCTTGGCTAGAGACATGAATTAAACATCTATTAATTACTCAGTTTTCTTTATACTCCCTTCAGGAAAGATGCTCCCAGGCAGTGGTCCCTAAACTTCAACATTCCCTAGAATCCCTTGGGAGCTTGTTAAAGATGAAGATCCCAGCTCCACCTCCAGTGATGCTCATTCATGAGCTCCAGAGCCAGGGAATTCTGAGGCACATGGTCCTCAGGGTCGACACTGAGGAAACACTGTCCTGAGGAAGAACATCAGGGTGATGCCCTGTGGGTGTGAGCCCAAAGGAGATATGGGAAGATCTCCTTACTGCCCCTTCCCTATGGTTTAATGTTTCCTCTAGTTAGGTCATAGCTTGGATATAGGGATGGAATTTTTCTCCCAAGTGGGAATTCCTTTTTGATTTGATGCTTTTAAAATTAATTCTGCTTTATGATGGGACTCCAAATACAATAACATAGACATGAAAACAAAGGAGAAAGTCAAAGTACTTCACCCATCCATTATTTATTTATCCTTCTAAGATGTTTTTTTTTAATTAGATGATATTTACTTTACAATGTTGTGTTGATTTTTGCCTTACATCAACATGAATCAGCCATGGGTATACATATTTCCATTAATGAAGTTTACTTTATATGGTGATTTATAGTTTTCTTTTCCTATTGTAATTTATTATAACAATTATATATATATACTTCTATGCATTTCAATACATAATAAAATGCATCTGTTATTCAAAACAAACCTTTTTGAAAAAAATTTTATTGGACTATAGTTTCTTTACAATGCTGTGTTATTTTCTGCTATACAGGAAAGTGAATCAGCCATATGCATACATATACCCCTCTGTCTTTGGATTTCCTTCCCATTTAGGTCACCACAGAGCACTGACCTGAGTTCCTTATGCCCTACAGTATGTTCTCATTAGTTATCTATTTTATGCATAGTAGTAAATGTCCATCAAGAGAGGAGTAAGTAAAGATGTGGAACGTATATACAATGGAATATTGCACGGCCATAAAATGGAACAAAATTGTTCCATATGAGGAGACATGGATGGACATACAGACTCATACAGAGTGAACTAAGTCAGAAAGAGAAAAACAAACATTGTATATTAACACAAAAGAAGGGAAGGACTGATGCTGAAGCTGAAACTCCAATACTTAGGCCACCTGATGCGAAGAACTGACTCATTTGAAAAGTCCCTGATATTGGGAAAGATCAAAGGAGGGAGGAGAAGCGGACGACAGAGGATGAAATTGTTGGATGGCATCACCAACTCAATGGACATGAGTTTGAGTGCTGGAGTTGGTGATGGACAGGGAAGCCTGACTTGTTGCAATCCATGGGGTCACTAACAGTCGGACACAATTGATCAACTGAACTGAACTGAACACAAAAGAAACTCAAAATAGAAAGACAGGCTTCAGACTGGCAGAAAATATTCTCAAAAGGTATTTCTTATAAAGACTTGAATCCAGAACATATACAAAAGACAAGCAATCCAATAATTTGAAAAAAAAAAGTGAAAAATTTGAACAGATATCTCACCAAAGGAAGATATATAGCAAATTAGCACATATAAAAAGACACTCAACATCATTATTCATTAGATTAATGGAAATGAAAATCACAATGATTTAGCACAACAAACCCATTAGAATGCCAAAATTCAGATAAATGGCAATTCCTAGTGGTAGTGAAGGTGTTAGAACTCTCATACATTACAGGTAGTATTGCATAATAAAGAACGGTTTAGGAAATAGTTTGTCAGTTTCTCCTGAAGTTAAATACACCCTTGGCTCTGCAATTCCACTCTTAGGGGCCTATGCAAAAGAAATATAAATTTCTCACACAAAGATTTGAATGTACAGCTATGTGCTACTGTGCTGTGCTTAGTCAGGCAGTTGTGTCTGACTCTTTGCGACCCCATGGACTGTAGTCTGCCAGGCTCTTCTGTTCACGGGGATTCTCTAGGCAAGAATATTGGAGGGGGTTGCCGTGTACTCCTCCAGGGGAACGTCACAACCCAGGGATTGAATCTAGGTCTCCCGCATTGCTGGCAGTTTTTTTACTGTCTAACCCACTGGAGAGCCCTTGAATACTGGAGTGGGTAGCCTACCCCTTCTCCAGGAATTGAACCAGGGTCTCCTGCATTGCAGGCAGATTCTTTACCAGCTGAGCTACCAGGGAAGCCCACACAGCTATACACATATCATATATTAATACATGTGACAAAGGTGATCCTGAAATGCCATGAAGAAGAGATGGATTTTCAACAAAGGGTGCTGGGGTAGTTGAATATCCATAGAGGAGAAAAATGAATTATAATTCATACCATAGACAAAAATTACTTCCAGAAGATTATAGATCCAAAAGTGAAAGGTAAAAAATAAAAGCTTCTTAGAAATTATATACAAGGATATTTTTATATATTTGGCCATATTTTTAAAAACACAAAAAGTACACATCATAAAGGAACAAATTGACAAACTGACTACCTTAAATTTAAGATCTGTTGTTCATCAAAATATATCATTTAGATAGTTAAAAGGCAACTCACAGAGTAAGAGAAGATTCTATCTGTCTATCTGTCCACCTGTCCATATAGCTGGCTACCTACTTATCTTCAACAAAGAAATCATATCCAGACTATATAAAAAATTCTTTATATCAATGAAAAAAAGAAGGAGAAAATGCAATAGAAAAATAAGTAAAATATTTGAATGACTACTTCACTTAAGAAGATATCCAAATAAACAACATACATAACAAAAGGTGTTCAAATTCAATTTTTAATGTTAAATAAATACAAATTAAAACCACCATGAGATACTATCACACACCCATCAGCATGACTAAAATTTAGAAGACTAACAATCTGAGTCTTGCTGAGGTTATGGAGCAACTAAAACCATCTTATGCCACAAATGGGAGTACATACTCTGGACCCTCTGGACTACCATTGAAAGTGAAAGTGAAGTCACTCAATCGTGTCCAACTCTTTGCCATTTCCTTCTCTAGGAGATCTTCTCAACCCAGGGATTGAACCCGGGTCTCCAGCATTGTAGGCAGATGCTTTACCATCTGAGCCACCAGGGAAGTCCTGGACTACCATTGGGTGGTATCTTTTCACGTATTCCCTGTGACCTAGCATTTCCATACCTAGGTATGTGCCCCCAAAGAATTACATATATATGCATATCAACAGATAGTTATAAGAATGTCACAGCAGCCCTATTCATAATAGTCCCAAACTGGAAAAAAAAAATCATAAATGCCCATCTACATTGTATATATGTGTGTGTGTGTATATTAGTTGCTCAGTTATGTCTGACTCTTTTCGACCCCAGGGACTGTAGCCCACCAGGCCCTTCTGTCCATGGAATTCTCCAGGTCAGAATACTAGAGTGGGTAGCCATTCCCTTCTCTGGGGATTATTCCCAACCCAGGGATAAAAATCAGGTCTCTTGCATTACGGACAGATTCTTTTCCATCTGAGCACCAGGGAAGCCACCATCAACATTACAATGGATGAAAAATTGTAGTATATTTCTATAATGGAATTCTAAACAGAATGAGAATAAAAAAAATACACACTAAACAGTGATGAATCTCACAAACAAGATAAATTTGGTGAACAAAATAAATCAGACAAAACTGATAAATTGGTCTACATTAAACTAAAGAATTTCTGTTCCTTAAAAGACACCCTAGTTGCACTTGATGAGGAGAATAACACACAGGAGGGTTGAAATATTTGTCAAGATGCTTGGGCTAAGACCATGTCAAGTCCAAATGAAGAACTAGATTATGCCCAGACAGTTCACCCAAGTTCTTCCTCTGAGTCACAGATATAAGAGAACAGGGCAACAACAGCAAGCCCAGATCGTTGCCTCCC